TACCTACTCAATATCGATCCCAGGTATAAGCCTGTCCGCCAAAAGTTGAGGAGTGTAAGTATTCGAGAGGGGGCAGGCCATGGAGAAGAAGGTGGACTGACAAATGGGTCAGTGAGGGAGGTAGCCTACCTAGACTGGCTATCCAATGTAGTGATGGTGACAAAAACCAATGGGGAGTGGCGCCTTTGCGTGGACTTCATAGAGCTCAACAAAGCCTGTCCCAAAGACAACTACCCTCTACCACGCATCGACCTCCTCATTGATGCCACCGCTGGACATGAGCTCCTGAGTTTCTTAGACGCTTTCTCTGGCTACAACTAGATCAACATGTTCTCTCCAGATCAAGAGAAAATCTCATTCATCACCGTGAGAGGCACCTACTATTACAAAGTGATGTCATTCAAACTCAAGAATGTCGGAGCCACTTATCAGCGCCTCGTCAACAGGATGTTCGAGGCCCAGATAGGAAAGACAATGGAGATCTACGTAGACGACATGTTAGTAAAGAGTATAGTTGCGGCAAACCGTGTAATGCACCTGTAGGAGACTTTCAACGTGTTAAGAGCCTACAGGATGAAACTAAATCCTGAAAAGTGCGCATCTGGTGTCAGTTTAGGAAATTTCTTAGGCTTTATGGTCCACAAAAGTGGTATTGATGCCAACTCAAACAAGATCAAAGTCATCTTGGAGATGAAGTCCCCTGCCTCAACAAAGGATGTCCAGCGCCTTAATGAGAGGATAACAGCCCTCAACAGGTTTGTCTCTAAATCAGCAGATAAATGCCTACCCTTCTTTAAAATCTTTCGCAAGTGTTTCCATAGGGGCCCAGATGCAGAGGAGGCCTTCCAGAAACTCAAGGCCTACCTTGCCACGTCGTTTTTACTCTCCCATTCTATACTAAGAGGTCATCTTCACCCTCTGATGTGAACTCCTTCCTTATTAGAAAAGATGGAGGCATCCAGAAGCTTGTATATTATATAAGCAGGGCATACCGAGAAGTAGAGATAAGGTACTCAGAACTTGAAAAATTGGCTCTTGCACTCGTCACTGCTCCCAGACGCCTACGCCACTACTTTCAGAACCATACCATCATGGTTGTTACAAAATCAACCACTCAAGAGGATTTTGGGGAAGCCTGATGTCTCCAACCGACTACTCAAATGGGTCGTCGAGTTAAGCGAGTTCGATGTACAGTATCAGCCACGATCTTCCATAAAAGCACAAGCACTTACGAACTTCATGGCAAAGTCTACATCGCCATAGAAGTCTCAAAAGGAAGTACTAGGCGACCCGACGCCCACCTTCTTAGTACACATAGCCTTTGTCCGCCATAAGGTTGGATGACATGACAACTCGAAGGAGGACCCCCAGCTTGAGTAACCCAAGGTATTGCCCACCTGGCCTAGGGTGCCTCCCACCCTGCCTAGGGCACTGCCTCTCTCTACCTACATCACATACCACTTTCCTCTCTCTCCAAGCGTCACCTTGCAACCCGCAACCTCCTACCACTTTGTCACCCGAAGAGTTGGCTCCCTCTCCACCACCTACTGTACCAGGTTGGAAACTCTACGTGGATGGGTCCTCCACCAACGAGGGCGACGACATGAGACTGGTGCTCATCAGCCCCCATGGCACTTCATTGAAGTATGCTGTCTTCCTCCACTTTGCCACATCAAACAATCAAGCTGGATATGAAACCCTCATATCAGGCTTGAAGTTGGCGTTGGAGATGAAGGGCTTATACTTGAAAGCCTACAGTGACTCCCAACTCATAGTCAACCAAGTAAAGGGAGACCTTGAAACAGAGGAGCAAAGAATACAAGAGTCCCTTACAATGGTCCAAGCCCTACTCAAAAAGTTTGCCTACTTCCAAATCCACCATGTGCCTTAAGAGGAGAACGCCATGGCAGATACGCTTGCCAAATTCGCCTATGCCAACATACTTATGGGCCCAGCATTGATAGGACACCAGTTCGAATCTAGTACCTCCAAGACAGAGGAGGAAGATGTCTACTGTATATCCTCAAAGTCCAACTGGATGGCTCCCATTTGAGCTTACCTAAAGGAGAACACTTTCCCAGACAACCGAGTGGAAACCAGAAAGTTGAGAATGAGAGCATCTAGGTATGTCATCCTACAAAACATCCTCTATAAAAAAAGTTATTCTCTTCTAGTACTTCATTGTCTCACACCCGAGAAGTCGATTATGCCATGAGGGAGATCTATGAGGAGATATATGGGAATCACGCAGGAGGGCGTGCACTAACCCACAAAGCAATTAGGTAGGGATACTATTGGCCTACCATGATCAGAGACGTCTGCGACTTTGTCAAGAGATGTAACAAATGTCAACGCTTTGCAATTGTGCCTAGATAGCCACCTGAAGAGCTTACCACCATTCAGAGCCCATAGCCTTTCTCCATGTGGGGGATCGACATCCTAGGTTCCCTCTCTATAAGTCAAGGCTAGTGTAAGTTCGTAGTCATAGCCATCGACTACTTTACTAAGTGGGCAGAAGCTGAAGCTTTAGCCATAATAACAAACCAGAAGATAAAGGACTTTATATGGAGGAGTCTAGTCTGCCGCTTTGAAATACCTCACACCATTATGAGTGACAATGCCAAGAAGTTTGATAACAAAACTCCTTAACAGTTTCTATGCAAATCTCCAGATCAAGCAACCCCACCCATCCACAGGCAAATGGGCAAGCAGAGGTCATCATTAGGACCACACTTCGCAATTTGAAAGCCAAACTGGAGAGTGCAAAAAGAAGATGGGTAGATGAACTCATAGGAGTACTATGTGCCTACCAGATGACACCAAGGAGTTCTACGGGCGAGGCCCCTTTTTCCCTAGCCTATGGGACAGAGGTAGTGATACCTATTGAGATTGGCGTACACTTTTTTAGGGTCCAGCACCGTGACCCTACCAGTAAGGAAGAAGACCTCCATATCAACCTCGATTTGATAGAGGGGGAGAGGAAAATAGCCATGCTCAAGAATATAGAGTACAAGCGTTGCATAACCAAGTACTACAACTCGAGGGTGAAGCCTCGCTCCTTCTTACCCGAGGACCTAGTCCTCAAAAAGGTCATTATATCTACCAAAAATTCCCAAGAAGGAAAACTAGGACCCAATTGGGAAGGGCCCTACATGATCACGGAGGTGGTAAGGCTAGGGACTTATAGAATATAGAATTTTGAAGAAAAAGTCCTGACCCATCCATGGAACGCATAACATCTAAAGAAATATTACCAGTAGCTGGGGGCAGTGAATTATAAGTTAGTGGTCACTATTTAGACTATTTACTTTTTATTTTGGTCAATTTCCTTCAAATATTTATTTTGGATTATGAAATAAAATTTCTCAATATATTTTTTCAAAAGTTATATTCCTTTCAAGTTCATGAAATCTTTACAAAAGATAGAATTTGACCTATCAACAAAAAACGTGAATACAAAGACACCTCCTAATGACACTCACTACCTCCACTCCCACCATCGCTTGCGTCCTCCACAATAGTCTCGGGAGCCTCATAAGATTGAAAGCCAGAGAAGTCATAAGTAGGGAATGCTACTGAGACCTTCCTCTTAAGCTCATCATAGCCATCAATGAAGGCGCTTGCCTTGGCCCTCTCAGCAGCATCCCTCATCTTCTCCATCTCTATGGAGTAAGCCTCTGTCCTAGTAGCTCTCTCAAGAGTTGCTCGAAGGTCTGCCTCTAACTTGGCAGCCCTTTCGTGCGCTAGCCTCCACTGCTCTGCGGCATCCTTTCACGTCTGTTGCTCGAGCCCTAATTGCTTCACGGCATCCTCTCGTGCCTGTTGTGTAAGTTCCGCGGCATCTTCTCGTGCCTATACCTCAAGCCTTAACTATTCTTCAACAGTCTCATTTGCTCGCCTCTCCACTGCCTAGTCGTCGATTGCCTCCTTGATCTTCACTGTATTGGTAAACAAGTAGGACAAAGCAATAATCACCTATAAGCATTTGAAGGTGAAAATATAAAGAAAGCTAGGTGCAAAGCCAAAGAGGAGTGCGAGACATACCAAAGCAAATCCCTCCATAGTAGCGTCAACGATGCCCTCTAGACCTTGAGAGGCAACCTTTTGAGCCTCCGTGCGGGTCACAAACCTCCAAAGCCTCTCCTTGGCCAGCTTCACATCCCGCAACATGGATACTAAGTCACTGCCCGAACAACATTTCTTTTGAAAAATGTTTTATTTTTTGATTTTTTTTTCATGGTTTTGGCTTGTAAAAGTGTAGATCTTTGTGTTTTTATATTTTTTCATGTTGAATTATGTTATGTTATATTGTATGATATTGTGTTGGATTTACAAGAGAGACAAACTTTTAATTATATTATGTTGGATTATGTTGTAGTCAAGGTTTTAATTATATTATGTTATAAATGACAAATTTTTAATTATGTTATGATATTTTATAATTATATTGCATTATTTAAAATATTAGATTTATTTAGAATTTTGAATTATATTGACTTGAGCTTGAGTTTGGGCGAGTAAGGTGGATGGGGGTGGGGGGCAGAGGTGAAGGTGGGGGGACGGAGAGGAGCTGGAGATTACAAATTTACCTGTGGACAGAAATAGAGATAAAATTATATTCATTAATGGGGATGGACCAGGAATGAACAAAATTTTTTTAAGCGAATATAGAAATGAAGATTACACCCTCCACCCCGCTTAGATCCACTGTCATCCCTAGTATTAGATTGGAGCGGAGAGTAATGTAAATAGAACGAGGTGGGGGTTATACTCATCCTGTGGCCCATTGTCCACAAAAAATGGGTCGCCTACCTAATTAGCAGCCACATGATGATGGCTTTGCAATGAAATGGTCAAAGAAAGGTTGACAGAACATAACAAATAAAAGAAGGGAAGGGCTCTTCCGTTCTGTCTATTAAAGCCCATGTAGCATCTTGGCCATCAGTCAGTTGTTGCTTGCTATTGCCACCAAATTAGAGAGAGAACGAGAGAGGAAGGGAATGGGCAGCTGCGGGTTAGTGGGTCGATGGGGAACGGTAGCAGTGTTGGTGGCGATTGCCGGGGTGATGATGAGCAATCTGTATTATGGTGGTTGGGACAAAGACGCAGCGCTGCAATTGTTGAGTGAATTGTCTGATCGGCTGGGGATGTGGGCGATCCCTGCTTATGTGGGCCTCCACACTGTCACGCTCGCTCTATGTCTTCCTTACGCCGTCTTCTTCGAGGCAGGGGCTTCTCTCCTCTTTGGCTTCTTACCTGCGGTGCTATGTGTCTTCTCAGCCAAGCTCCTCGGAGCCTCCCTCTCCTTCTGGATTGGCAGGTGACGTTTCATCTTCTCCTCCGTTTTTAATTCGATCTTTTTGAATTTGCTGTTCTTTTTCTGTATTTTTTTTTTTTTAATTTCAGTTTTTCGAATGGATGTTTATGAATCACCTTATCTGCCTATATCATCATTTGAACATATGAATATGTGTGGCACGAATATGCAAGCAAATGGAAACATTAAAAGTTATGTCTATTTGACCTAACAGCAAAGTTGCATTCTAGATTTAGCAAATCAAGATTTTGCCTTCTTTTATAAACAAATAGTTCACCTTTTATGTGAACATCAAGTTGTCTATTATCCACACTTGCATCCTGAGATGCACGGCATGTTGATCTACTGTCAACTACCACTCTAACCACTTATTGGAAATTGATAAACCATGATGAACCTGTGAATTTTGAGCCAAATCATAAGCTCTGATTTTGCTGGGATTCCAATGAATCCCATAGATTGTCATCTCTCATGTCTTATGTCGAAGTTGATCACCCCTTTACATTTGATATGGTTGAGGCAGAGCAGTAGCTGCACATTCTACGTGCGCTTTATTATGTTTGGATGGATTGCATGCTTTGCTAAAAGCTAGGTTAGATTTAAAAACCATGGATGCTAATGAATCTCTGTTGGGGAAGTTTTTGAGGAGATTAGTAGAGTAGAGAGACTTCTTGTGCAGGAGACTGGGACATTAGAAGTAAGGGAAAGTGAGGGAACTAGACTTTCTATGACATTAGGGAATATGATGTTGTTTGCCTGTTGGATACTGGAGACTCACCAGGAAGGGGAGAAGATTTTCCTAGGCATGTTAACTTCAATGAGCATAATGGGCAGAGGACAAACATTTGTTACGACCGAGAGGTTGTACTGGTGAAGATTATGTACTAGATTGTTGCAAGCAAGGAGGTCTTTGTTGCATGTGGACTTTCATTTTAGCGAGACTAGAATTGTTGAGAGTGAAAATGATGCACAAACTGAGTACAGAGTCCTGTATATATAGCCAAATTCGAGTGTAACTGACCAGAATTCCTCTCTGGTCTAGGTAAGACATAAAAACTATAGTAAGGGCAAAATAGATAAANCCTATATCATCATTTGAACATATGAATATGTGTGGCACGAATATGCAAGCAAATGGAAACATTAAAAGTTATGTCTATTTGACCTAACAGCAAAGTTGCATTCTAGATTTAGCAAATCAAGATTTTGCCTTCTTTTATAAACAAATAGTTCACCTTTTATGTGAACATCAAGTTGTCTATTATCCACACTTGCATCCTGAGATGCACGGCATGTTGATCTACTGTCAACTACCACTCTAACCACTTATTGGAAATTGATAAACCATGATGAACCTGTGAATTTTGAGCCAAATCATAAGCTCTGATTTTGCTGGGATTCCAATGAATCCCATAGATTGTCATCTCTCATGTCTTATGTCGAAGTTGATCACCCCTTTACATTTGATATGGTTGAGGCAGAGCAGTAGCTGCACATTCTACGTGCGCTTTATTATGTTTGGATGGATTGCATGCTTTGCTAAAAGCTAGGTTAGATTTAAAAACCATGGATGCTAATGAATCTCTGTTGGGGAAGTTTTTGAGGAGATTAGTAGAGTAGAGAGACTTCTTGTGCAGGAGACTGGGACATTAGAAGTAAGGGAAAGTGAGGGAACTAGACTTTCTATGACATTAGGGAATATGATGTTGTTTGCCTGTTGGATACTGGAGACTCACCAGGAAGGGGAGAAGATTTTCCTAGGCATGTTAACTTCAATGAGCATAATGGGCAGAGGACAAACATTTGTTACGACCGAGAGGTTGTACTGGTGAAGATTATGTACTAGATTGTTGCAAGCAAGGAGGTCTTTGTTGCATGTGGACTTTCATTTTAGCGAGACTAGAATTGTTGAGAGTGAAAATGATGCACAAACTGAGTACAGAGTCCTGTATATATAGCCAAATTCGAGTGTAACTGACCAGAATTCCTCTCTGGTCTAGGTAAGACATAAAAACTATAGTAAGGGCAAAATAGATAAAACAGCTAAACATCCTAATAACTAGGTTATAACTCCAACACTTTTCTTCAAGCTAGACACAAAGATGTCAATCAATCCAAGCTTGATAATAGAGTCTCGAAGAATGGATAGAGTAACAAGTTTAGTGAAGACATCCGTAACTTGATCACTAGTCCCTACAAACAATGGGGTAACAATGCCGCAGTTGACCTCCTTCCAAAGAAAGTGAACATCGATCTCTATATGCTTCGTTCTCTCGTGTAATACAGAGTCAAGAGCGAGCTGAATAGTCGATCAATTAATACAGTATAATGTAGATGGAGAAGTCATTGAAAATTTTGTCTTGCCAAGAATAGACCATAGCTAAATAATCCCACATGTGCCAAGTTCTAATGCCCAATACTCTGCCTCTGTTAATGAACGGGAGACAACTGTCTGCTTCTTGTTCTTTCAAGAGATAAGATGAGTCCGTCAAAAAGTACAGAAGTCCGTAGTAGATCGACAGTCATATATTCCTCAATAATTTGAATTTTAATAACAAGTTAGAGAATCGGTCTGTGATCCCGATGTATTTAATAACCCAAGTCCAAGACAAGACTTGAGGTATCGAAGAATATGCTATACTGCATCCAGATGAGACTGACATGACTTGTGCATGAACCGACTAACCTAGCTGACGATAAATGAAATGTTTGACCTAGTGTTGCCTAGGTAAATAAGCCTACTTACTAATGTCTGATAAACAGTTAGATCTCTTAACTCCTTAACTTTAGCAATAAGTTTTAAGTTTAGAATCATAGGTGATGATGCCGGTTTGCATTACAACATCCTAGTGTTTGAGAGAAAATCCAAAACGTATACTCTTATTGTTATGGGCAACCTCATTCCCAAGTTTGTGGGCTTCGGTGTCTTCATCTCTCTTGCTTTTGCTTCAGTGTCTTCATCTTTGGTGCGAATCAGGCTGTAAAAAAAAATAATTAAACAACTACTTCGCGTATTGGTACGATACGTATCGTATCGTAAAAATATATCGTGTATCAGGCGATACAATACAAAAACGATACATAACTACGATCCGTATCGTGACGTATCATACGATACTAACAACTATGCTGTCTAATAATATTTTGTCGAATAAAACATGTATGATTAGAATGATATCTGGTGAAGCCGAAACGTACAAACACACCGCTAAATTGAGAGAACCAGTCTCTTGGTGATTATTTCAGTCTATAAAGAGACTTACGTAGTCAACACATCTTCTCAGCATACTTCTCCTCACCACGAAAGTTAGGTACTGCATCCATATAAATTGCCTTGTCCAGGTCACCGTAAAGAAACGCATTCTTCACTTTCAACTGATGAAGAGGCTAAGAATACAAGACAGCCAGAGAAATAATCAAACGAACCGTAGTCAACTTTGCCACTAGGACAAAATTGCGACCTAGAACCTGAGTAAAATCCTTGACCACAAGCCTAGCCTTGTGGCGATTAGCAGCACCATCCAAAAGAAACTCCATAGTGTAAACTCAACGACAGCCAACAGGCTTCACCCTTAAAGGAAAAGAAACAAAATCCCATGTAAGGTTACGCTGAAAAGCGTCCATCTCTGTCTGTATAGTAAGAACCCATTGAGGCTCTCCGCATAGTCTCTAAAACTGAGCGAGGAACCGGCGTATCTGATAATACCATACTATAAGTTCAAAATGTAGGAGATCGCTTAGCATAAGAAACATAACGGGAGACTATATATAAAGTCTTGGTTGTCCAACCATAACGAATAACTGGCCGACAGTCATAATGCAGATAACGACACCCTAAATCATCATCCTGCATAGATAAAGTGTCATAAGTTAAATTAATTTGCTCAAAAACCTCAACATCTGCACTCTCATCGGTGCTAACAACAGGCTCAATAGTATACTTAACTAACTGAGAAATATTATCTGCGTCATTTAAAGTAGAGGGAACATTAGCAGGGAGATGAGAACAAGGGCAACGAACGTAAACCTGTAAACGAGGAGAAACTGATATATTATATATAAAAGTAAGAGAGACTAGGATATCATGTGTAATCGGCGACTCTGTAGTGACAAGGACTAGTGGCTCCGATGGTAAGGGAAAATCAAAGGGAATATCGTCAACGGGTGATGCAAACACGGGACTAAAAGTCAAAAAATAAGGTACATGCTCAAAAAATGTAATATCTAGACTATGATACATACGACGTCGGATTGGATCATAACACCGATAGCCCTTAGACTGCTGACAGTAGCCCACAAAGATACAATGAATATTTGTATCATCAAGCTTACAATGAGTAGGAGATCGATCATGAACTAAACATGTACGGCCAAAGACCTGCGGAGAGATCGAAAATAAGTGTCTGCCTAAGGAGCCCTATGCTAAACAACATGACTCGGTGTGCGGTTGCACAAGAAGGTAGAAAGTCAGAACTACAAAATACCAATAAGACTTAGGCACTCTCATACCTCCAAGTATACAACGTACGATCGTTATTAGATTATTATTATTTTTTTTAGCAACTCTATTTTGCTTAGGAGTATATGGGCACGTGAGCTACCGAAGAATACCTGCGCAAGAAAGGTGAAACATTAAAGTATCAGACAAATATTCTTTGGCATTATTCAAATGAAGAGCTTGAACAATAACATCAAATTGTTTCTTAGTAATCTGTAGAAACTGAAAGATAACATGAAGTACATTTGACTTCCAATGCAAAAAGTATACTTAAGTACAGCAGGTATGGTCATCTATAAAGGTCACATAATATTGGGCACCTGACAGAGTATAAGTGAGGATCCCCAAATATCAGTGTGTATTAGGTCAAATGGCCTAGGAAACTGGTTCGTGCGAGGAATATAATTGATCCAAACATGTTTAGATAGTGAACGTATAACACAGTTAAGTCTACCACTAGCACAAACATTAGTCAAAATAAGAAATAACATACATAAATATTTAGAATTTGTATGCCTAAAATAGTTATGCCAAAACTGAACAATTTGTGACGAAAAATCATAACGACAAGTACTAGGTAAAATACTAGCATGTAAGATAGGAACAGATAATGATAAAACATGTGCAGGCGGCAGAAGAATTGGAGGTGGATCGCCTAGATAGTACAACTCATCTCTCTCATATCTTTTGATAATAATCATTTTAGTACTTAGGTCCTGTAAACAACAAGAGTCAGATAAGAACACTGTTGCAAAAATCTCTAATTAACTGATGTACATATAATAGATTCATGGTCATCTTTGATGCATGAAAAATAAAATATAATGTAAGACCATCTAGAAGGTGAACTGTACCCTTCCTAATAATAAAGGCATGTGTCCCATCTGCTAACTAAATCTGTGTGTGTAACTACTCATCGAAAGTAGTGAAGTGATGAGTCTCACTTGTCATGTGACCATTCGCACCTGAGTCTAGTATGCAAAGAGGAGAAGGACTGGTGCGAGCATAGAAAGCATAAGGTATACCAGTAGTGGTCACAAAAGTAGTAGTAGACCCAGAGAAGTCATAACAGATATAAGCATATCCAATTTGGAACTCATAGCATCTATATCGCTCTACCAAGGAACAGTAGTAGTAGTAGTGGCAGCAGTAATAGGTGGTGATCCCTCAGCAATAGTAGCAGTACGGCCTCGAGAAGCAAGATGAGGCAACTTAAGCTCAGCATGGAGCTTCTAGCAATCAGCCCTGAAATGTCCTAGTCGGCCACAATAATCACACTGGCGAGAGTCACCCTGTTGGTGTTAGGACACTGTCCACCAGTAGTAAGAAGTTCTAAGCGAGATCCTACAGCAGCTGCAAGGGCCATCTGGTTGACTTGAGGGGTTAAGGTTACAACTAGAAGTGATACAATACAGATGCGACGCTTATACTGCTCAATTATAGAATAAACCTCATAAAGAGAATGAAGCATCAACATCAACAGTATCTGGGAACGAGGTCTCTCAAACTCATCACAAAGCCCTATAAGAAACTTATGAATCTTGTCCTTCTGTTCTCGAGTATGCAGAAATGTCGCTTCTTCGAGCTCTATTATCGAAATAGCAGTAAGAAGACGTAGAGTTTCATACTCAAGCCAACGTCGAGTCGAATAGGCATAGTAGTCTTGAGCTGACATATCTCTTCGTCGAGCATATGAGAGCTCCTAAGAAAGCCCATAAACACGACTTGACTGTGAATACATCTCTGGTAATGCACTCTATTGCTTCGAAACAAAGGTATGAACTAATAAATCCTGCAAACAAATGACTCCTTAAATCCAAATAACCATCCAAGAATAGCGTAATTCTTGGAGAACTATGCACAATATTTAGGGTCGTCATCAGCTGAATTTAGGTGCGATCCGATCACCTAACCAAGCTTTCCAATACGCCCAAAAAAGAGCTGAAACAAGCGTGACCACTCTGTAAAGATACGACCATCTAATAATTGTGTCGTAATCTTCTGAGAGACCATACCTGTCATCACCCGTAATACAACTGTGTTAGTAGGTACTGTGTACTAGTCCACCATAAAGATAAAAGGGGTAATCTCTGCAGAAGTGGTCGGTACCTTCTCAGTGGAAGTACCAACAGTAGAGCTCTCAAATTCCTCACCAATGATCATAGCAACAATAGTAATGCAGCAACCGTGACAGAAATTACTCTAAAATAAATAGAGTTAAAAAAGGGAGAATAATATACCTCTAGTCAAACAATAGCAACAAAGAAGTGGTTTAGAAAACTCCCAAATAATAGGTCACGATGCCAAGTTAATCCAAAAAATATATATAGGTAATCTAATGCATCAAAAGTAGATCAACGGAGGGGATCCAACCCCTTTAAAAGTCCCTAAGGTGCTTTGACCTTACGGAAATAAGAAACCAACAGCATAGAGGTGGTGGCGCTGGCAGGAAGGAATGGTTGCACTGGCAAGAAACGGTGGTGGCGCTGGTGGGAAGAGGTGGTGGCACTGGTGGGAAAGACTAGGTTTAGGGTTAGGGAAGACTAGTGTTTGGCTGGCTCTAATACCAACTAGAATTGTTGGGAGTGAAAAGGATGCACAAACTAAGTGCAAAGTCCTGTATATATAGCCAAATAAGAGAGCAACTGATCAGAACACCCCTCTGGTTTGGATAAAACATAAAAACCGTAGTAAGGTCAAAATAGATAAAAAAGCTAAATATCCTAATAACTAGGCTATAACTCCAATAGGGAGAAGAGTAGTTTGGACTTGAGTGTCCAAATAACTAGGTCAATGCCAGTTGGTAAAGTGAATTGGTAAATTTTGTGCCCGCGATATTTTTGCCATGTTGTGTATGTTTCAACCATTGATAACTTGGTGAGATGGGGTGAGATGCTCCTCAATTGGTGCTGCAAATGTAAGAAGCATTGATAGTTTATTATTGCAATAGAGAGCCATGGTCCATTAGTTTTTAGTTTTCACTGTTTGTCACACAGTGGGTTTACGAGGTGTTGAAGTCTTGGCTTGAATGAAACCTGGTTAGAGAGTGAGACTGCTCTGAAGAACTGCACCTTTGCATCTATGGTGTCATGTAAGGTATTAGGGGTGGATTTCCTTGAGTCCTATATAAAACATCTATGGGATATGTTTGGGCTGCCTCAATTATGGTTCAAAGTCGCGGTATCGGCCATTGACTCGGAGATCACTGAGACACATCGGTCGCGGCGCAGTATCGGCCAATACGCTCAAAACGCTATGTAGAAGGCTCAAAAATTTGAAAAAATTAGAAAAAATTGTAATAAATGTAAACATCATCATCAATGCATTATATCCCTAAAAGACATTATTTAACATATTAATCATTGCAAAAAAAAATAATAAGGATGCTACCGGAAAATATTTATTATCATCTATATTCAAGGTTAATAAAATTTAATTTGTAATTTTTAAAAATTATAAATGTATATATATGGTTAACTTAATAGCTTTAAAAATGAAAATCTATTTATAAAAAAAATCTTCATTTAATTATTTATTATGTGTCTAATTAGATCGATTATATGTATATGTATTTTATGTATGATGATTATATGTATTTTCTCCATTATGTACATTTAATTATTAAATCATCAACATATATACAAAAACAAACTTAAGGAGTTAAGTTCTAAGTAGTTTATATGAAAAATATTAGAACTTATATAATTAAAAAAATTGGGGCAAAATCGAAAAAACAAAAAGAAAGGGGGGGGAAATAAATTTTTGGGTCTGATAAAGCCAAAGCCTCACGTGACCCCAAAGGCTCACTCTTCGGTCTTCAACTCTCAACTTCGACGAACACAGAGAACAGAGAGAGAGAGAGAGGGAGAACGACAGAGCACAGAGACGATGGGTCTCTGCTACTCGGGACTCATCGGGAAGGCTGGGTTTTCTGCTATCGAGTAGTCCGATCGTCCAGCAGCCTAGGGTCTGCGAAGTTGATCGATGAACTGCGAAGAAGATGGAAAGTAAGAACCGCGAAGAAGAAGGAAAGTCCGATCTGCGATGTTAATCGATGATATTGGGTCTCTGATTAGGGAGATTTACCACAAATTTTCAGGTTTGTGTTCAATTTTGTTATAATTTTCTTGTTTTATTTTTATTATGGTAAAAGAGGTCTAATTTAGGGTTTAATTTCTCATCTTTTTTGATTTTTTTTTTCATATTTTTTTTGTTGCTTGGACAATTCTGTGCGTATTAGTTCGATTTGAAAGTGAATTGGCCGAGTTTGTCTGAGTTTTTCCGAGTTGGACCGAGTTGAATCCGAGTTAGCCCGATTCAGAACCGATTCATGATAGACTCGTGATAGTCTTGTATCGTGTATCGTTATCGGATCAATGCCTGCCGAGGCGGATACGACTCGGCCAAGTTGTATCCAACTCGGCCGATACTTTGAACATTGGCCTCAATGTGTTCCAAAAACTTAGAAAGGGATCACACAAAAAACAGAAATTAAAATGACTGTACATTTCTATTTGGTTTGGGTGTTGATTGGTATGATGTGGTCCTTGTATTCTTCTTGGATGTATCTTCTAGGATGCTTGGAGTTGAAAGTCAGATGCTAAAAGAAATTATGATGACTCTGTCTTATGGATTATATTTCAATATATTCAGGTTTTTGACGTACTACTTTCTCCTGCTGTGGTATTAGAGCCATTGTGACCATTTGTGTTTGTTCAGGTTTGTTTTCAGGAATTTTAGTTCAGCAAGTGAGTTGGTCCAGAGAAATAGGTACTTCCATCTGCTTTCCAGGGGAGTTGAACAAGATGGTTGGAGATTTGTTCTTCTGGCTCGCTTCTCACCCATACCCTCCTATGTCATTAATTATGCCTTGGCTGCTACAAAGGTTGGATTTGTTGTGGATTTCCTTCTCCCTACGGGAATTGGCTGTCTGCCTATGATCTTGCAGAATACATCCATTGGCAGCCTTGCCAGTGTTGCTGTCGCTTCAGCATCAGGGTCTCAAAAATCTCAGGTTTGGTCATACCTTTTTCCCCTTCTTGGGATTTTATCAAGCATTCTTATCTCGTTGAGGATCAAAAAGTACTCCAGTGATATTTCAGTGTCTGTTTCCTCTCCTTGTGAGGATATAAAACAAGACGGTAATGACACCATTGACTTAACAAACCTAGTCCAGTAGCAAAAACTAGTGAGGGTTTGAGGAAAAGTCACTGATAACCTTTTTGTCACCAATATTTTGTTCCATTTACATGTGTCTTGGAGAGTGATGAACTTTGTAGGTGGAAATGGAATCCCTCTTGGTAGCCAGCTGTATCTTCTAACTTTTTCTGAATGTTTTGGTAGATTAACTGTAAGTTCAACTTTTATACCCCACTCTGTGTTCATGGCATTATGCAATCACAGAATATGTAATGGTAAAATAGAAGTGAATGTATTTTAACATGTGTAATGACCTAACGATCAGTCAATAATCTATTTTTGTGAACAGTTGTTTTTTTTTTTTTGGGCGCGGGGGGGACTCCAAATGTTGCAGAGGAATAACAATTAACTAGTTCATATATCCAAGCAATTAAGCACCCATGATTAGCATCAAACACGTTGCATTTCCACTAAACCATGACACAAGTTCCTGCATTAAATTTGAACTTATTTAATTGAGTTATATTTAAGTATTTAGATGTAATGGCTAAGCTCAAATTGTCAATAACTGTTAGACCGAAGTGATTAGTTTGACTGAAGATTTCATGGAAGTATTCATTTACAAGTGAAAGCTGAGAGAGAGAGAGAGAGAAAGAAATATCCTTATAACAATCTACTACATTAGTTTGACTGAAGTTCAATTGTTAAAGACAGTTAAAGTTTTATACTAAAAAATTCGAAGAGAAAGAGAGAATGTACAACTAATAAAGCCAAGTCTCCTATTTTAGACTCGACCGAATTTCCTCACAACAATATACTAGATTAAACCAACGTCCAAGACACGTAAAGGTTTATCCAAGCATGCATTGATGAAAAAAATAGTTGCAGGATTTTATTTTCCATAATACAATTTTCGCATTAGTGCTGGGGAAAAAAGGCAATAGTTACATGATATACAACCTATACGGCTATACCAAAACATCTGCCAAACTTCCATTTGGCTGGGGTGGGGGTCCGTCTCCATCCCCCGTGTAAACTACATATTAAGATTTGTAAGCGAGTAGTAGGGCTCTAGCCTCAAAGCAGTGCAAGTGCAATTGCAGCCACTAGACGATGAAATGAATTGGAACTCGGAAGGTGATCAGATTGCGATGATAGAGGGCTAACTGCAATATAAAATCTGAGAGTCAATTCACATGCATCTAAATTCTTGTCATGGGATCAACACAATCTGTACAAGTACATATTGGGATTTTCTTGCAGCCAAGCTTCGTTTATTTATTTATTTTTTGCAATTGCTTGGTTATTACATGCTCATTGCTGCAAATGTCATTGTCCTTTAGCCTGGTCTATCCACATTGACATTTTCATTAAAAAAACTAATGATTTCTTCCTCTGTATAACTCTCATCATAAATTATTATATTACTTCTAACACAAGAGACCATTCTTTCTTGAAACGTTTTCGAAAACTAAAAGAAATAAACTTCTAATGATTTGTAACATGACTATCTTTAGTAATGAGCTTCTGTTAGGGTGTTAATCAATTGTATGACTTAAATAGAAAGGGAACATGATTCTTTTATGTTTTACCCCAATCTTTCCCAATGCTACATGCTACATGAGTTCGAAAGAGTTTGAGATGATTAAGCATAGCTACGAGGGTGTATTGATTTTAATGCGAACAAGTGCAGGAGAGGCGAGTGAAGTCTGTTAATATCTTAATTTATTGCTTATTTGATCTGAGGGCAGCCACATTTAGCAAATACTGCCAAAGTTTACCTCTATACCAATTTGCCCATCCCAAACCCCATTATTGGGGATTAAACTGGGCTTTTTATTTTTATTATTTATTCTCATCCATATAAATATTTGTACCAGAGCAGAATTTGGCCGTGTTTTTCTGACATGTCCTTTAATGCTGCCAAGTGGTGCCTATACTCTCCAAAACTGAAGCTCTAAGAGGGAGACGGTGGGGG